GAGGGACGGCAGCACCGTGGGCATCTTCACCATCGCCGTGGTGTGCAGCATCGTCCTGACGTCGCTGGTCTGGGTGTGCATCATCTACCAGACCAGGAAGAAGAGCGAGGAGTACAGTGTCACCAACACAGGTCAGCCACTGCTGGCGAGGAGGCAGGGTGCCTCGGGCCTGTGCACGGCAGCCACGTGCTGGCTTGTCACCGCAGTGACCTCCTGGGGTCATGCCTCTGCTTGTTCTGGCTCCCTCACCATCCCTGTGTGCTCGCTCACACTCTCTCAGACTCAGACCTCCAACGGCTGTGTTTTTTACACCCAGGTGGAAAGTGAGGCTGAGCTGGGCCCCCCCAGACCCTCTCTCCGCACAGCTTGGGCGGCTGCTGTTGGGAGAGGCTTGTGTCTGGGCCTGATCGCAAATGGGTGTTGTCCCGTCTTGTTCCCACGGAGGATGGGGACACCTGCTATCTGACTGTCCTGTCTCCTTGCAGATGAAACCATCGTGCCACCGGATGTTCCAAGCTACCTCTCGTCTCAGGGAACTCTTTCTGACCGGCAGGAAACTGTGACCAGGACTGAGGGTGGCCATCAGGCCAACGGGCACATCGAGAGCAACGGTAAGGCATCAGAGCCCAATGCGACCCTGTCCTCAGGAGCCCCCCACCCCCACCCATGGCAGGTGCACAGCCTTATACTGAGCGCATCTGACCTTGAAGGTTGGCAGACTGGAGCCTTCTGTTGGGGTTTTTTGGCCCTACCCTGTGCATGTTCTCCAAGGTTTTAAAAATCCAACCCCCAGAAAGTTGATCTATTGGGCTCAGCATCTCCTGGTCAAGATAAGGTAGGATTGAATAAGCTGCAAAGGACATTACAGGCCCTGAAACCGGTCCATTTGTTGAGTAAAGGCCGGGCCCAGGCCTGCTCTGTTGTCCAATCTCTGCTACCAGAAAGCTCTCCCAGGGTGAGCTACTGCTACCGGGGAGATTGAGTGCTTACGGGGGCGGGGGCATGTCTGTCCTCACAGGAACCGCTCCCCGGCACAGCCTGAACACTGAAAGGCCTGCCTGCGGGGTTGGCTTGTGTTACCAGTGCTCCTTGCTGGTCAGCAGGCACCCATTTTAAAGACCATTGTCAAGAGGACTGTTCGAGTAGTTCCTGCCGCTTGTTCTCATTAAGCATCCTCTGCCCAGCTAAGCCCATCGTTTCTAACTGTGGGAACCTACTGCAGGTACTTGTCCAAGGGACGCCAGCCTCTTCTCAGAGGCGGACGCTCACGGCATCACGTGCAGGCAGCCGAAGCTGTGCGGGGGCTCGAACAAGGAACCCTGGACCATGATGGAGAAAGTGCCGCAGAGGCCGGGACCACAGAAGACGGGTAAGAGCTGCTCTCCTCAGCAAGAGTTTTAAGTTCTCAAAATCAAAATTCAGGTAGACCTATTCATGAAATGAAAGCAAGAGATGCGTTATGGGTCTAGGACTGTCTCAGAATCTGCTATTAAGTATATGAACAGGAAGCTGGGGCCTAGCTCTCCTGATTCTGAGTAGCAGGTCTCTTACGTCAGTCTGTGGGGTGGGGAGCCTGGGCTTGAACTTTCCAGATTTGTAAAGGGAAAGGCCAACCTGAAGCACCTTTTCACCAGGCCTATTTTGGAGGCTGTATTTCTAATGACTCTGAAGACTCCTGACAGCACGTGGTGTGTCATGCAGTCGGATTTTTTTTTCTGTGATGGAAGAGTAGGACCACTTTCTCTCATGAAGCAATTCCTCTGAACTGTTGAAACACGGAGGGCCCATTCTTCCTTAACGGCTTGGTATCTACCCAGTCCTCCTCCTGTGACCATGCCTGGGGGAGAGGGGAGGTTTGAGAGAGGTGGTCTAAGCAGGGCTGTGGCCTCCCAGCCAGGGATGCAGCGCTCTGTTCTGGGCGGGGATGCACAGCTCGGGGGCAGTGGCTGTGATCCATCTCTGCTCGGTCCTGCAGAGCACGGCGGCCCAGTGGCATGCGGGGATGGCAACGCTGGTGTGGACGGTTATTCCAAGGAGCAAGCTTTCTATCCTTCGCCTATGAGCAAAGAGAGTACACAGCCAGGCACACTCAGTAGCCAGGAGCCCAGTCAGACACACCGAGAACATTCTCTGCTGCCTCTAACCAGTGGGACTGCTGACGGGTCCCGCGCCAACTGCAGGGGGTCCCTCTACCCCAGTAACCACGACAGAATGCCGACATCCTTGAAGAAAAAGCCACTGGCGCCTCCAGATGGGAAAGGTAGACGTTCACAGCCTTCCAGGGTGGCACCCGCAGCGGGGTGGGGGCGGGGAAGAGGCCAGCCTGGAGCTCTGACGCGGCCCCTCCTTCCTCACAGGGGCCTCTCCGTGGACTTTGGCAAGGTTGTGTGAGCCGGACTCGAGAGACCTCCAGCCTCCCTCGACATTAACTCCAGGCAGTCCTGAGCTCTCTGAAGCTGCCTCGGGCCTTCCTGAGGTCCCCAGCGAAGGCCAGCACTTGCTTCTTTCCAACGGACACCTCCCCCAGGTGTGCGACGCCAGCCCTGAGTCCCCAACGCTGACAGGACAGCCTCCAGGGAAGCGGGGCACGCCCCTGCTCTTTCCACCGAAGATCTAGGCTTGGTCTACCTCAGATCTTGTGCCCGTCTCTACAGGAAGGAGAGGTAGTAGGAGAGGCTGTAAGGAAGCTTGAGTTCAAGCGTCACTGATGTGTACAGAGTTTTTAAACTTCCATGTGGAGTGTCCGTGGTTTAAAGGACTTGCAGCTGAAGCCCAGAACCGCAAGAGGCTGTTGTGTACAAAAGCAGAAAAGTATTTGATACCCTTGTACATAAGAGTTTTCAGAGATTTCCTATATATTATATATCTTTTGCAGAGGCTATTTTAATCTTTAGTGCATGGTTAACAGAAAAAAAAAAAACCATACAATTTTGACAATATTATTTTTCGTTATCAGGTTGCTGTTTAATTTTGGAATGGGGGGTGGGGAGGAGTTCTGGTGCCTTAATGCATGGATGGAATTTGTAGAAGCTAAAAACCACATTTGCTCCCAGGAGTTTCTGGAGGGCGGGGCAGAAGGGAAGTCCTGGGGTTTGCCTTGCACTTCCCGGGACAGCCCCCGAGGATGCGGCCCAGCCCGGGCCCTCCTTCGCATGCATCGGCTTTCACTTCCCGTCAGTATCACTCACTGGGGATGCTCGCACAGCTCGCCTCCTTGCGGTGTCCTGAGATGCCCGTGTCGCCCTGGACCTCTGCCCTCCAGGCTTTTGTAAGTTGGAGCTCCTTGCCAAGCAGAAGGGAGGGTTGTTGATCCACCGCAAGCCTTTGTTCCAAACAACGAAGCACTGCCTGCCTTCCTTCCCTGAGAAAAGCAGATGTGGTCGTCGGTCTCACTCGATTGTCCTTTGAGGCTTATTTTACTGAGATAGAGGCTGCTGGTGTTGGTACCTGTGGATTTTTCAATAGTGATGTTTTAGTTCAGCCAATAGAATTCATGTGACATTGACCATGGGGGAGAGAAAGGGTCGAGTCCCTCCTTTTCAGGGCTAGCTTCTCTCTGCTGAGGATCCGGAGCATGTCTGTCCACGTCCTTCCCTCACACAGACAGACCCGGGCTGGGGCTGTAATAAGTTGAGGCCCCTGGCCGGGGTATATTTGCACTTTCGAGACCTGTAGCTAACCATCTTGTGAGTGCCAATGTGTATTTCAGGAAAAATTACATTGAAAACAAGGTCCTTAAAAAATCTCAGAAAGCAAGTTCCTTTAGCCCAAAAGCTGAAGGTACAGACTGACAAAATGGTTGGTAAAATTTTACTCTCCAGTGTCATCACTGTTCTAAAAGGTAAGCACACTTAGAATTGTGTTCTCAACAGTCAGCTGATTGTTACTTCCACAAAATATGTGAATTTGCTGCTTCTGAGAGGCAATGTGAAAGAGGAAGTATTACTTTTATGTACAAAGTTATTTATTTATAGAAATTTTGGTACAATGTACATTGAACATGTAAAATACTGAAGTGTCTAACAGCATTGAAGTGTCTAAAATAAAGGTTCATTTATAAATGTTGATTGTGTGGCTGGGGGCATTCTTCTACCCACCGTTTCTCCCCCTTCCCTTCCAGAAACTCCCTTAAAATAAAATGCAGTTATGCTGCCTTTGATTATGTTTTCCCAAAAGGGGAAAATTTCTTCTCAGCAAAACAAAATCCTACACTTCTTTGCTTCAGGGAAGATACACCGCCCCTAGATTCCTGAGATTTCTCTCTGAATTTTTCTAACACCTGGAGCATATTAGTCAAGCTCCGCAACAGTGACCTCCCCATTTCATTTCCAGTACTGCACAACAACCCTTCCCGACGGGGCACGAAGATGCCGCGCTCGATCTCCGAGCCGGCTCCGGCCCCTCCTTTGGGTCTCACGTGGAGGAGCGTGGAGTGGGGCTCAGGTCCTCAGTGGGTCCACCGCCCCCTCCTGCGCCGAAGCCTGCCGGTCCCACCGAGGCCCTGAGCAGCAACTGCTTGCTTTCTCGCACACACCACGTGGGCTGCCGGACGCTTCTCTAAAATAATACAATCGTGTTTTTTAGGGGAAATCTGGGGGTAATTAAGAAAGGGCCTGGCTGCCCAGAAGAAGGCCTGCCTGCACCTACAGGTCATTGTTTCTCAACAAAGCCCTAAGCTTCACCAGGGGGAGACACCCAGCCCCGGGCCCCACTTTCCCTCTGAGTCCCCTTCCTTCCTGCTCCCGGTCCAGCCCCACCGTCTCTGCCTCCCGCGCTCGGTCCGCTAGCGGGGGGCAGGAAGTGTGAGATCAGCTACAGATCAAATGAAGGCTCCAAGCAGCCTGGACTGAGCATCGGCACGTGGCTTTATTCGGGGGGCGGAGGACAGGGTTGAGAGTACCGCTGTGGCCAGGGTTCCGTGCGAGCGTGCCAGCCAGACGACAGCGGGGAAGACACGTTCTCAAGGTCCCCAGGGTCCCCGTCTTCACACACACGAGCCTGGGGCAGAGGACCACACCGCTGCTCCCATGGCATCCTTTTTCTTGAGAGCCGAGCAGGGGGCACCGTCCCTGCTTCAGGGCCTCTCTCTGCCGGATTCCAACAACAAGCTGCGGGTCTGCTCGTAAGCACCAAGAAAGATGAAACCTCCCAGGCTGATGGCTGCCATTCGAGGGAAGACACCTGCAAATAATCTGGGGAAGGAACAAGGCAGGAGGAAAGATTCCTTTCAAATCGGTGTGTGTGAAAAAGGTTAAATTCCAACACCTACAGCTTGCTCAGCTCAGCACACCACGCTCATTAAACCCTGCACAGCACTTAGAGCGTGCGCTTTTTCCTTCCAGAATGGCACTAAATTACATTCCCAAGTAGACTTGTTGAAGTCTGGGCCCAGCTGTTTGTTGGCTAACGTGGCTAAATACCAAACAGCTTACTCGTGAGCCTTGCAATGAAGTCCCGTAATTAGTCAAGAAAGACTAACTCTGTCCCCACAACAGGACTGCTGAAAACGTCCAGACCGCTTCTGCCTGTGGGAGAGGGTAAAATGGACTCTGCTAAAGCAGTCCAGGGTCCGACTCCGGGGCGCGCGTGCCCCACCCCCCAAGAAGGGAAGGCAGGCTCCGGGGCCAGAGGAGCTTATCCCAACAGCTCTGCCGCTCCTCCCAGGACTTGGTTGCATTTTGTCCTTAGAGGCCCACAAATGTGATGCCACAACAGGAAAGCGGATCTCCATGCATTCTCGGCTTGTCTTCTCCCCTGAGGAAGGACCAGAAAGGCCACAGTCTGGGGACAGCACCTCCTCGAAGGTGCAGTCCCCACGCACCCCACCAGGCCAGTCAGGGGAGCGACTTCAGAAGAATCAAAGGCAAAGAAAAAGAACAGCATTACTGGGGACGCAGACCGGAGGTTCACTCGAAAAGCCAACCTGTGGCTGCGCACGGGTCTGTTCAGAGAGCGTCCTCGTGGCACTGCCAGAACCAGCGCGACCGCGCAGAACCGCCTCGTGGGCAGCCCACGGGGGCCGAGACACGCACCTGCGTGGTGAGTTCTGCCACAACTCCCCGAGCTGCACGCGTGAGCACGGCAAGGAGGTGAGCATCGACTCCAACACCTCAACCTTCTCTGGAGGGCGAGACTAGAAACATTCCCTGTCTTTCTAGGATAACTGAGCCTTTTTACCAAGAGTATTTTGTAAAGCAGTAAAAATCAGGACGAGCGGGTTAGCAGCGAGTACACTTTAGATCCAGTCTAGGGAAGAAAAGTGAAAATGGCCAGGTTATGTGAAAAGGACAGAACCTCTAAGAGGAAAAACAGCACAGTAAGCTCAACAGGGACTGGCCAAGGAAGCGGGCAGAAGGGACCCCCCCCCCCCCCCCCGCGCACCCCCTTGTTTTTGCATGGCTGCTGGGACAGGTCACACACCTCCCCTGTGAGGAGCACTCAGCACTTCTGAGGAAGACGGACTTAGCATTAGGGGGCCCTTTTGTTAGGGAAGTAGGGATTTAAATCATTAAAATACTTCAGATAAGATGAGAACCTCTTGTTCTTGTCCAGAGGTAACCATGAAAACTATACAAGGAGAAAAATCGTTTAGCTCGGCGTCATGCACCCAGTTTTTTGCAGGAGGTGGTAGGTGAGGACAGACACCCATTACCGCTCGGAGGCCCCTGGGACCTTCTGGCCTGACACACAGCTGACCCTTCTTGGCCCTACCTGCACAGAGAAGGGTGCCAGGAGGGAGGTCAGCAGAAGACCACCTGCGCCATGAAAGCCAGCCAGCCTGCCTCCCTCCCTCCCAAGCAGACATTTCTGAAACCTGTGCCTTGGTTCAGCTTTTGCGGCCGATGAACTCCGCTGCTCCTGGCAGGGGCAGATGGAAGCAGTTTACGGTTTCACTAGATGACAATGGGATCTATTAAACGTAATTACAGCCTTACGGCCGAGTCATTTGTGCGGTGGGAGCCCGGAGCAGAGGGGGCTGTGTTCTCCGGACTGCGGAGCACACGAGGGAACAAATGAGCAAACGGAGGGCACGGGGCCCGGCGGGGGTGCGCACAGGCCCCGCGGTCCCTCCGTGAAGGGCACGGTCAAGGAACACACAAAGCCAGTTGAGGAACAGGACAAGGAGGAAAGCGCAATACAGGAGGCGCAGGCTTCCCCATCTGCTTCCCGGCTGCTGGGCTGAAAGGGCGTGTGGTGGTTCTGTTTTGGGGAAACCAGTTGGCCTGAGAGCCCATATCCCAAGTAGGTGCCAGAACGTGGTCTTCCCCGTGAGAACCAACATGCAGAGACCGCAGCGTCCCCACTCGCCCCCGAGAGGCCAGCGCCGTTTCCCTGCAGGGTGGGAAGTTGCAAGTGCGAGGCCACGGAACACTCCAGAGATGCACAAGGGGGCTCCAAGGCGGCGGAAGGGCCCGTGGGGCTGTGTGGGAACCAGACAGAGGAGGCAGGCCGGGGCGCCCAGGAATGGTTTTACAACAGCGGCCCATGTTTGCAGGGACTGTTTTGTTTTATTTGCGTTGAATTACAATTCTGTTGTCAAATTATTTGGTGTCTCTTATCCCCGTTAGTAGGAAGCTAGTGAAAACTAGCCTTTCTCAATGACCGGCGTGGCCGCCTGGATACTCTGCTGAGGACCACACTGTGCATACTCGGGACAGCCCAGACTCGAGATGATAAGCCAAATTCCCAGTCACCTTTTCAGGGCTGACAGTGCGGACAGAGGAGCCCTGGGCATGTTTAGGTCGCCTGTCCTCTGCCTCTAACTCTGGTGTCGCCCAGTTACACCACACCGAGCACACAGCACAGTGGGGACCGGGGAGGGTTTGGTCTCGATCCTGTCCTCACAGGAATTCCTTCTCCACAAGCTCTTGGAGGCCAGGCCCATCCTGCTGTACCTGCATCCGGCCGTCATCTCAAGCAAGGCCGATGCACTACAGCCCACACCGACCCCACAGAGCTAAATCAAGAGTGGTGGTCTGACCGGTGGTTGCTATAAAACCCAATAGGAGCCTCAGTGAAACAAAGAGGGCCATAAAATTCAGCATTTTGACTTGGTTATCATCTAAAAAGGCTACTACACACAACATCTCTGTGTGGCTCAAAACTATCTGAAACACAGAATCTTTTACCTGCTATTAAAACGTGGCTTTAGAGCCTCTTTTCTCTCACACCATTTCATTGTTCAAGGTGAAATTTGTGTCAAAACCAATGTGTCTGAGGTACAAGCAAGCAGACTCTCACGTGGTGTTGACTCTAAGTGGCCCAGGGGCACCGGCTCTGCCACTCCCTGCCTCGCTCACGCTCAAGTGCTCCTTCCCGTTACACCCACTTCTTGTCTTGAAATCCTTAAGCCCGTCATCAGCAGGCATCAGTCCATCAGAGCTGGCCCATTCAACAAAACCACCCACCGGGACCCACTTTTCAATCGATCTACCAGTTGGAAATTCCAGAGAATGGGGCCATTCTCCCGCGAAAACCCCACCTGGGTCCTCACCAAGAGGCCTCAAGTTGCCCAGCTATCTAGTGGCCGAAAGAAAGACCTGTCAAATGCACACAGCCCACCAGTCATCGCCACAGCCCCCGGGGAGAGGTGGGGGCACTGCCTCGGACAGCTGCCCCACCAGCCACACCCTGCCACGACACTACCCCCATCGCCACCCTCCAGGAGGTGACCATGGCTCTGCTCTCCCAGGAGAACCCCTGCTAGGTCATTCCAAAGCGCACACTGTTGTGTCGCGACCCATCCAGACCCCAACACGGAGACGTGTACAGATGGTAAAAGCAACGTGAAAGCACATTTGGCCAAGGAGGCATTTTCGGACACGATGTTTGGAGTCTGGGGCACAGAGCAAAGTAGAGAGCGGGTTTCAAGTGAGGCGCCACACACACGGGTGTGGCGAAAGTAACTGCTACTGATCATAGTGAGAAGTCTCCCCAACGACAAGTGCTTTCCTCTAAATGTCACCCTCGCTCGCTTGCATTCCTGCATTCCATAACTGGAATCCTGTTTGCTCAGAGCTGCTGCCCGGAACATGGGGGGCGGGGGGGGGGCGATGGTGGGCAGGCACATGGGTGTCCTCCAACATCCAGACAGACAAGACTGGTGATCACGTGGCTAGACGTTGCATCAACTTGGCCGTGCACTAACATCTCACACGGGTAATGTCAAATATGTTGGTGAAATGTAAATAAAGAGACCCAACCAGGATGATCGGAAGAAAGGAAAGGGTTTTATCCCGTTAAGGCTAAAGGCAGGAAGAGCCCATGGAAAGGCGGAAAGGGGGTTTCACCTTCCTGCATGTGCTTACCCTGACAGCCCATGCGTCCGCCAGACCCCGTGCAGCGCAGACAGTACGTTCCCACTAGCGGTGCTGGAACCAGCCTGCGTAACAGACAACAGACGAAGCCATTATCTTACGAAATTCCCCCGCTGATCCTCAGGGGGCGGCTCCCAACAGCCCTCTGCTCGGACAGTTTGAAACAGAGTGGGAGCTTCTCGGGAATCAGGACTCCCGGATCTGGATCACACCAGACCGGAAGCCCTCCCGTTCCCACCCACAGGTGAGCCCTGACGGACAGGAAGCTGCTGTCCTAGGTTCTCGCATCAAACTGGACGCAGAGCTCGCCTCGGTAATTCACCAACTGCTGTCTCACGGGACGACGACTGAGAGCAGAGTGACTGCGTGGAGAACAGGCACTGATCAGTCTATACGGTCCAAACTTGCCGAAGCAGCTAACAGACCCGTTTAAGAAAGAGCACTGCGATCCATTTAACACAGGAGCGATTCTCTCGGGTTTGGCCTTGTCCACCACGTAACAGAATCCCGCACTCACTGTCCCACTTTTTCCTAAGGGTAGGACGTTTTCTTCTCTATGGTTGTGCCCCAGATGTTATGCACGTGGCATTCCATGACATCTTGGTCTAGGTTTTTCCGTAACAATTTTTCTTTTTAATGAAAAATGTTTTTAAACTGTGACAACTGTCCTGATGGACCCAGTGAAGGCCAAACGCGGTGTGAGTTCGGCGCCTCTAGCCCACCTGCTGCACAGCAGGAAGCGAGGCAACTCTGAGCCTCATGTCTGTCGGCCGTGAACACAGAGCAACCTGGAACATGGCATCCCGGCCGAGGCCCTGCAGCAGCGCTGCTGGCTTACGCGAGGCCAGTGAGCATGGTTTCGGGAAGGCGGGGTGCCGCAGGCTCACACCGCAGTCGCGCGCTCGCGATACGCACGAGCCCTGGGGGGAGCACGGACAAGCTGTGTCTGCGTGATCTAAGTGTTAGATTAACACTTACCTTGGCCAACATGATTCTTGTTTTTGCCACATCCAGAGGCGTGGTGACCGCAGCTGCAAATCCACCTGCGCACAGAAGACGACCGGACAGGTAAAGGAGGGATTGTTTACCGTATTACACAGTCTTTTATTTTCTCATTCCTCCTAAGTCCGCTGAGATCACTCCCCTATCATTACACCCACTGGCCTGACTCAAGGAGAGGGCGGGCGCACATGTGCGAAACCCACATGCCCCGTGGCTCTCATAGTGATGGTGAAAGAGATGACTGGATAATGCTTTACACACTCAAGCGGGGAAAAAGGCCCCATAATTTATCTTGCTCTTTTGTGGAGCAACAGACCTGTGTGTGTGCACGTGATTGTGCGTCTGTGTTCAGACACACACTGTCTGTAGGAGAGGCTCGCTGCTCCCGGTAACTCTCAGAGGCCCATGGCTTCCAGGGACACTGTTTTTGACCCAGACTCCAAAATGCTGCTCTTTTTTTCTGGTCTGAGATAAAATGGGCAAAGAGAAATATGCATACTGCTGCAGGGACTTTCAGTATTAACAGCTAAATTCTTTTAAAAGGGCAAAGTTTTCGGTCTTTGCAGGCTTCAGAGAACAGGCCAGGCCAAGTAATGACATTTCTAGGCCCCCCTCTGCATCCTGATTCCACAGGCACTTTGCCCACAGCTTCCTTCCCACCTTCTCTTCCACGGAATACCATGACTGCCAAACTGATATTTAGAAAATCCACACATTGTAATATCCATACCTACGGACAGAGGAATTCGAGGAATTTTTTTTTTTTTAATAGAAACCGCAGTATATGTTGTCGACATTTTATTTAGCGTGATACAAAGATGTATTTTAAGCCCCAAGAGGCCCTGAGGAGATAGAAATAATAAACCCGAAAGGGCTTTCTCAAGACTCGGCTTCCGTGAGCTGGGCTGCAGTTTCACAGGGAGCTGAACACACTTGTATGAAGGATGCTCCAGAAATAGCACGTCTCCCCCTGAAGTCTGTGGTGTGCGAAGGTCATCTGCTCTCTGCCAACTATCTTTCTAAACGTGTTGCTGAAATAAGATCCTCACGCTGAACTCTGGCAGCAGGCATGAGTGACTTTTTGAAAGATGTACCCATAATGCTTTTATGTCCCATTTCTGGTGACTCACAAAGGACACACCCCTTAGGGCTACAGATTATCAATGACATGAGCCCCATTTGCTTTAGCCACTTTTGTCCTAAGAACATGTGAAACATTTTCCTCCAGATTCAGAAGCTGCCTGAAATTTAGGTACTTACTCAACTTCAGGCAATGAATCTGTACTATCCCACCCCAAACTCCCCACCCCAAATCTGATATAGTTCGGCTTTGCGTCCTTCACTAGCTGCAAGGGTCTGCAGGGCCCAGCCCAGAACTCTGGAAGAGTCAGAAAGATCAAGCCTTAAATTCCATGCTTAAATACAGTACTTCTTCTCTAGGTAAAGCACCCTACGAGACACGTACTTCTGTAACGGCTACCCATGCAACCGGCGGGGGAAACTGAGCCTCAGTGAGGTTACAGAACTCACAGACAGTTTTAGTGCAGAGCTGAGACGTGAACTTCCCTGACTCCAGACCATGAGCGCATGGTCATCGAGGCCTCAGGTTTTTTCATCTGTAAAAAGCAGGTAAGAGTATGACACAGGCACTAAGTAAGTCTGTGCCAAGTGTCTAGGGTAGTACCTGGCTCTTTCCTGCAAGGGCAGAGATAAAGTGTGATTTTCCGTCACGGCTCTAGCCCAGTGCACATAGCAGACACTCAAAAATGCTTGCCAGGAGCCTGGAACAAGCATCTGTAGTTTTTACAAACCCGAGGTTTTAACTCGTCCTCTAAAAGAGAGGAGAAAGGGGAAGCTCGGAGTGGATATTTGGGCTTACTCTGTAGCCGGCAGGTGGGACTGCAGCAGGCACAGTGGTATCTTGTGTGCTTACGGCACACGAGACTTACGGCATCTTGTGTGTGTGGGATTACTCCACATGGCAGACAACTTGCTCAGGGCCACACAGTATGGAGCTGCCACTCAATGTCACGAGCATCTTAGCTCCAAAAGTAGTGCTCCTTGACCACGTGATAACTGGTATGTGATAAGACATACAATGTGCCTGATTGTTAAAACTCAGAAGTGCATACAGCATTATCCTATTTGAAAATGTTCACAAGCTGGGGGGTCTTGGTGGCTCAGTTGGTTAAGCGTCTACTTTCCGCTCAGGTCATGATCTCAGAATCCTGGGATCAAGCGGGGAGCCTGCTTCTGCCTCTCCCTCTGCCCCTCCCCCAACTTCTCTCTCTCAAATAAAAACCTTTAAGAAAAAAAGAAAAGAAAATGCTCATAAACTTTCCTAAACCAACTCTGAAGACTTACAAGTTGGTGAAGACATCACTGGTCTCCTGACTACTCAGGCTTTCCTCACTTACCTATGTTGAAAAGTATGTGTCTTCTCGTAAACATGGGTACGGTGCACCCGACATGCCTTGGTCCCTAGCAATAGTGCACCTGTCCCTTACTGTGGCTGCCTGCCAATGTGATCTTACAGACTGCCGCTTCATATGGGTAATATGAAGAAAAGTCCAAGACAAAAACAAATACACTTAAATAGGTCCCAATTTTACTATGACGTAGCTGCATTTTATGAAAGTTATCAATAAATCAATTTTAACGTCTTCAAATGTCAAGAACTGCTTTACTACCCAGCCCTCACCATGCTTTTTATGAGGCTGCAAAGAAGGGCCTATGAAGATCATGTAATATGGGTTACAGTGGGGAGGGGGCTGGGGACCTGCGCTTTTGGTTAAAATGCAGTGATTTTAGGAAACTGTAAACTGCTGGTAATAAATACGAGGAACATGCTAACATATTAGAGAGGATATAATTATTCGGTGCAACTGTAGGCTGCCGATGTGCTCGCATGGCGTCACAACTGAAGCAATTTTCTACAGGTTCCACAGACAGAGGTTCTCACAGAATGTCAGGCCAACTGCTTTCAGAGACCAGGTTCAGGGGAAACTGGGAGCTTACAATAAAATGACGTATCACATGTCCTTAGGGAACAAATGCGGGTTCGTGACCACCCCAAAGGGGCCACCTTCCTCCAACAAGTCTGGAGCTGTCACACCCCAGCATGCGCCTCGGGGGTGTCATCTCCAAACCAGCGGACAGACACATGGGGCTACAATAACAGGCTTTTTGTGTGTGTTTCAAGGTTGTGCCAGGCTTTCTCATTTGCTACCCAGATAAATCCTTCACCCTATTCTGAAATTTTTTTCTCTCCTTTTTATAAAACAAAACAAAACAAAAAAACACAAAAAAACCAAAAACTCATTTTTTTGAGTGTGAGAGCGCGGGGGATGGTGGGGAGCAGGAGAGGGAGAAAATCTTTAAGCAGACTCCCCACAGAGCACGGAGCCTGATGAGGGGCTCTAGCTCATGACTCATGAGATCATGACCTGAGTTGAAACCAAGAGTCGGATGTTTAACCGACCGAGCCACCCAGGCGCCCCATATTCTGGAATTTCAAGCCATGAAAATTATCTCTTTTTCTGTCCCTCCCACTCTTTCAGTCCTGCTCCCTCTTAGAAAATGTAAGCAGATGTTAATTATGAGAAACTGACCAAAGAACACTAGAATATTCTGCACATATCACTATAGTAGCAAATGTCATAATTACTTAGGTTGAATTGTAGATTTATATTTAAAAATTAACTTGTAGTGAGAAAGTTGGCAAAGTCATCCCCCCCCCTTGTTTAACCTCTGACCAGAAGCCAAGGGAATTTCTGAGCATGACGAGCCATCAACACCTCCAATCTCAGGGGACATTTTTGGATATTTGTGCCAAGTAGTTTATAAAACAAGCATGGGCACAGAAAAGTGCCAAAGATAGCACAGAAAATGGTTCATCCATGATGATTTAACTATTTTAAAACTGGAAAAGTGCACAAGGATGAACAATCTGATTTCTGATATGAGGGTGAGTCCTGTCACTGCCTTTGTGGCTAAGTGAGGCTGGAGAAGCTGGGCAGCGGGGGGAGGCCCTGACAGGCCTGGGAGGGCAGCCGGGGGCAGGAGCCGTTCCTCCACGGGGTGGAAGGCGCAGCGGCACCAGACTCCCACCGGCTACCACTTTTTCACAAGTTGGGGATATTTTTAAATTATATTTTAAAGGTTTTAGAATAGTTTTAAATCAACATAGGTTTTCAAATCGTAACTATATGCCTCACGATCAACCTACCAACTGAAATTTTAAAACAAAAGGGATATAAACAAAAATATACTTGTTTTCTCGCTTGCTAAGTACATGTGGATCTACATGCAATGGATTTTCGCAGACGCTGATGAACTGCTTCATTGACCAGAACCTCAACTGAAGAAATACGGTAGCGCACACAGAGGCGTTTCTAACTCTCCATGCTACCAGAGGTCATTACGTACGGACACTCTATCAATAGGTTACTCTCTCAGTGCAACTGTGAATAGGAATCAGTGCGATGACAGCTTTTTGTTTTCTGGGCACTGGTTGTTGCCACTGCAGCAGAAATCATACCTCTCACTGGGCAGTTCGGTGTCACGGGGTACAAGGACTAATACACACCCCACCCCACTGATGCCCGCAGTGGTCCCCGCTCCGGCAGGGAGGGGCGCGTCTATGTTACAGGTAAGGAAACCAGTGCTCAGGAAGGCCCCCAAGTCTCATTCCTTAGCTGGGGGCACAGCTGAGACGGGACAACGCTGTGAGTCCTGCAGGCGGGCCCCCACTGGGTCCGTGGCTCTGGGCCAGCCCCTGCCTGCGCCACCCTGCGGCTTCCAGCAGTCCCCGGAGCAAGCGCGCGTCGGCTGCACACCCCGGACCAGCCCCAGGGAGCCTACAGCACGGTGGATCGCGGGTGGAAGTCTCTCTTTCCCTGCTTCTAATCTAAGTGCTTATTACAAAGCATTATTCAGAAAAAGACACTGTAGCGAATGCACATTTCCTTCATAGAAACAATGCTTGTAAGCAAATCTTTGAATTAGCTACACTTCAGCAAGGGACCAGAGAATACACACTTCTTGCTTCATTCCCAGGGAAGTTTTATGGTATTGGTAAATTTACAAAGTGCCCTTCCTTATCCAGGGGTGACTAAATTTCCATAATGCTTACTTTGTCCCCTGGAGGGAGTAAAAAAAAAAAAAAAAAAAAATCACACATTTCTCTTAAGGACTGGGGAGTAAAGACTCTTGACCTCTGGAAAGTGAATCAAGACCACCTACTCGATGAACACAGCTAATGACGAAGTGTCATGTGGAAACAATTACTCATCATAATCAGTCTGAGCTGGCTTCATGTCTAGAGGCAAGATCCTTTTTGATTATCAATTCTAGAAGTCTAATGGGTCCAATTATTAATAAAGAATCCTATAAAATACATGTTGTCTGTTTTCCTCATCACTACAGCCAAAAAAAACAATCCAACAACCATGAGACAAACTGGAAAAGAATTATTTTCTAATAAAGTTGACATCCTAAAACTACCTATTTACTGGTGGCTACACATCGAAATTAGCAGTTTATGGTTTCTAGCAAATCTCCATTTCAATTTATTTCAACTATAATTCTAACTTACCTTTATTTGCAACTGCAAAATACACTTCTCTCTTTGACTGCTAAAACTAGCACTTACCTAATTTTTCAAAGCACCTGAGTTCTTTTTACAACCTCACTGGAAACTGCACACGGCTTAGTGATGAGTAACACAGTATTGCATATTGTCACTTTGCTCTTGGTTTAATGTCTAGAAAATGCCCAGTTGCTTCAATCTCCACCTTTCCTCCCCAGACCCTGTTGAGCCGTCAGTAAGTCTGCTGAGCAGCCTCGCTCTCCTGACAGCAGTTAATCGGCGGCGCTGTCAAACGCGTCACACAAACTGTGAATCATTGCCTTCTGCAAAAATCACTGAAACCCCCAAAGCAGGGCTCCAGGCAGACAGCTGCACAGTGAGCCCTACACCCATAGCAGGTCTCTGCCCACAGAGGGCTTTACAAATCATCTTTAAGATAATCCAAGCGCCTGAGTGAAGGCTTTAATAAAGATAAAAAGAAAAAGAAAAATTTGTCAAAAACAAATTGGTTGTCTTTCAAACAGACACCTTTTAAGCATTCAGGGTTTTTTTTCCCCCTAAGACACGCTCTCGTCTCAAACAACTAGTGGAACTCTCTTCATCTAAACAATCTGGAATTTCTAAAGAATGTTGTTTTTGCATAGTTAATATTTTCACATTTTTCTCCCCCCTTTGGTCTTTCCCAGTATAATATAATCCTTTGCACCTGCAAAAGCTCCACAGACTGCTGACTGCCAACAATCCACCACATGATCCTGCCTCCAGGACCACAGGGCCTGCGTTTAAGGAGAAAGAAAAATACAAGTTATTAAATATTTGAATTTATCGGAACCTCCTGTGGGTTAGCTCTGGGGATGGGAACTTAAGTGAGAAGCTATTTTGGTGACATTCCTCACTGATGACATAAGTGATTTTCCCAAGGACTTGACTGCATTCTAAAATAAGTCAAAGAAACAAGGGTGACAGCTATATTCAAGGGCTCGAAGGAAACAATTTTCAGGAAATATGTAGGATATGCACACACTTGTGCCTATGTGTACAAATCAAGATACAACTCTAAGACAATGTAACATTTTAAATATTTCCCATATATTTCTGAACATATAAGTAACGCAATTCACAAGTTAGTCCAAAGCAGTGTCGGCCACATTCCTCAGTCCTTTTTTTTTTTTTTTTTTTTTTTTTTATTTACCCATATTACACATGTTTGAAAGATGCTGATTCTGTTACATAAGTCTGGGTTTAAAATTTGGCAAAACACTTTTTTGCCCTGTTCACGACATAAGTTGAGGATTATACAAATCGATCCCCGTCAAGTTGCAAACTGGGCAAAAAGATGGCAGAGACATGGTGCCTTGCTCACCAAGAGCGGATGAACCAGCAGAAGACAAGACACAGTGACACCAGATGGTGAACCGAGCTCCGAGTCAGGCAGTGGTCTAGTCTCTGAACACGTGCTATAATACCCAATCCTCACAACCACCCTAAAATTTGGGCCCTGTTATTACCCACCGTTTACCCAGGCTTTCTAACAGCAGAGCTCGCCCTCCAGTTTTTTTGGTTTTATTTTATTGAGGTGTAAGTATGTGTCCAACTGTGTCCAATGAACTACACATATTTAAAGTATGCAGCTTGTTAAATCTGGACACATGCCCATGAAATCATGGCCATAATTAACATAGTGAACCCATCCATCAGCCCAAGCATCCTTCTCTGTCCTTTCTCTTTCCTGCCCTTCCTCATCGCACCCTAACTCATCTGATCTGTCGCTCGAGTTGGAGTTTTCCAGAATTTTATGTAAGGCAAGTGGACATTATTTTTTTAAACCTGGGTTTTTTCCTTCAGAATTCTCGTTAAGATTCCATGTCGCCATCTACACTGATACTTCATCCCTGCTTAACGGCTAAGCAGAACTCCATTGTACGAGAGATCATCATGTGTTTAGGTCTCTGCCTATTGAAGCGCATTTGGGAATTTCTCCAGTTGCTGGCTATTACCAAAAAAGCTATTACGACCATCTACATATATGTCTTTATAGGGACACATGCCTTCATTTCTCTTGGGGAAATCCCTAGGAGTGAAACAGCTGGATCTCATGGTAAGAACATGTTTAACTTGTTAAGAAACTACAAAAGCATTTTCCAAATTGGTTCTACCATTTCACATTCTGACCAGTTCCAGTTTCTCCACATCCTTCCCAACAGTATTACTGGGATTTTAAAATTTTAACCATTCTAACAGGTGTGTAGTAATATGTCACTGTGGGTTTCTTTTTAAGATTTTATTTATTTGACAAACAGAGATCACAAGTAGGCAGAGAGGCAGGCAGAGAGAGAGGGGGAAGCAGGCTCCCTGCTGAACAGAGAGCCCGATGCGGGGCTCCATCCCAGGACCCCGGAATCATGGCCTGAGCTGAAGGCAGAGGCTTTAACCCATTGAGCCACCCAGGATCCCTGATGTCACTGCGGTTTTAATTCATGTTTTCTTAAAGACCGATGTTGACCTTCTTTTAATGTACATTTATGCCATCCCTGTATCTTCTTCCTTTTTTTTTTTTTTTTAAATTAGAGTTCACACCCAGAGTGGAGCCCAATGCGGGCCTTGAACTCACAATGTGGGCCTTGACCCTGAGGGTCAAGACCTGAGCTGAGATCAAGAGTCAGATGCTTAACCAACCAGGTGCTGCTCCCTAGATCACCTTTAGTGAAGTGTCCGTTCAAATGTTTTGAACATTTTTTTGAATTTTTTTCAGTTACTGAGTTTGAGAGTTCTTTATATATTCTGGATACGAGTCATTTGCAAATATTTTCTCCTAGACCATGCCTTCTCATTCTCTTAACAGTGTCTATAAAAGGATAGAAATATTTTATTTTGATGAAGTTCAAATTATTTACGGATCTCACTTTGGTGAATCATCTAAGAAATCTTTGTCTAACTCAGGCCTTAATGCACCCGTGTTTTCTTCTAGAAATGTTTGGTTTTTAGGTTTTACATTTAGATCTACCACTCATTTTGAGACTGTCCTTCCTGCATTTTATAACTTGGATCCTTTGTCATAAATTAATGAACTGTATAACTTCTAAACTCTCCTTTCTGTTCCACTGATCTATGTGTCTGTTTTAATGCCAATACCCTATTGTTTTAACTACTACAGCTTTGTAATTTAGTCTGAAATCAGAGAAATTTTTTTTAAGTCCGACACCTAACTAAGCAAATCAGACATATAACAATGCGTGTTCTCTGAGGTCTCCCAACACCTCCTTCCACCTAACTGATGAGAATGATTACTCAAAAAGTATATTTATTAAATTCACTAGACTAAGAGTGCAGCTGCCAAATAGATTTTTGTGAACATCTCAGGAATGGAGAGATGATAAAAAAAATTACACACAGCCTTCTGAAGACAGTCTTGCCATGAGTGTCATACTACTGGTATCCTTTCAGTGAATGCTTCAATGTGTGCAAACATCTCTGTGCTTTTGTAGAAAGCATCATTGTCTGCGTAGCTTATACAAGCACTGGTGACAGCATAAGAAACCAAACAGGAGACCATCATCTTTTTACTTTTGAGATGGAAAAATGTATATTCTATCAGGCTATACAGCCAGTTCTATAACACCATTACTCACTTCAGTGACTTTTTAGAAAAGGAATGTGAAGCCTCCACTGGACTTTCAGTAATCACTGAAGGCCATCTTCCGTTAATCTATGGATATCTTTGAGCGCTCCGAAGAGCGGAGGTTTACTTGAAACAGACTTAAATACTAATGATTATGCTGAGTTTATAAGCAATAATAGAGAACTACTAACATGTCAATTACACGTCATACAGGAGGGGGGAAAATCAAAGATGTTATGCAATTCATCAATTCAACATTTACTGAGTACCTACTGGGTATCAGGCACTTTTCTCTTTTCTTTTCTTTTTCTTTTCTTTTTTTTTTTTTTTTAAGGTTTAAGTAGACTTTATTGTTACAGGAGGGCCCTACTGAGCAGGGCCTCATAAACCAATATACGTGGTCCCAGGATGTCACCATCGAGAAATGGAAAGGTCACGATTGAGGAAGAGGTCACTGTAATTGAAGGACATGATCCGGCCAAGAATAAAGCAGACATGATCAGGAGAGGCCATGGGTGGTCAGGTCACAGGGTGAAAGACAGGACTGCCCCCTTCACTCCCACTTCTTGTAGCTCTCCAGATGCGACAGGACCCAACCTATTGGCAGGAGGCGACAAAGGAAGCAGGCGGTGAGCCCAACAGCGACATCCATGGTCCCAAGCTCCTCCCGTGGCGGCTTGGAATGCATCTGGGCACGCTGCACTGGGAGCCTCCGGGTGAGACCCGCCAGGCCCCTCAGCAGCTGCACGGAATGACCTCAGGCATTTTCAAGGGGAAAAAGAACAGCCGTCCCTAGGTCTAGTATTTGACAGGGATACAGAGTGGGCAGAAAAGGCTGTAACAGCGGGAGGGGAGGTGATGGAGAAGGTTTCACGTAAGTGCCTGCTCTAATCTAGGAGGGAAAAAAATTGGTGTGGGGGGGGGCACCTAATCAAAATGCTTGGATGGCCGAAGACACAGTTTAAAAACAGAATCTCCATAGACAAGCGTAACTTTCCACTATCAACCTGGCCAGAATAATTTCGTCTAAAAATATATAAAGAGATCATTTCATATTTGAAAAGAAATCTCTAGAGCCAAAAGGTTTGGAATCAAGTCAGAAACTTCAGGAGCAAACACAGCATCAGAGAACGTAACAGCAAGCACAATAAACACTTCTCTAAAACCTACGTGGATTCTAAGCACTAAACACTGCACACACGTTAACTCACGCAACCCCATCTACAATCTTCTGAGCTACGTGCCATTTTACCTTCATTTTATAGTTGGGAGGTTAAGGCTCAGAGAAGTAAAGCAACTTGCTGAGTTTTAACGGGCAGGTAGCAGAACTGAAATGTGTCTGAGACAACCTGGTAATAAGTATACAAACACGAGGACTTGGATCTACGTTTATAGTAGTGGCATAGCAAAGAGAGCAGCGTTTGTAAGACACCTTACTTCCACATACATACCAGAGGTTCTTCTGGAATGATAGTAAGATATCCAAGTGAACGAACAAACTCGGTGACTGCCCCAAAACCACCTGCTTTAAATAACAGGACTGTAATTTTTTTTTTTTTTAACAAGGAATTATCTAAATAGAAAAACTGGAAAGTAAGAAGCCAAGCTAAAAAAAAAAAAAAAAAAAAAGATGTTATTTACAAATATTTCACTTGGGAGCTACTTTAAAATTCCTTAAACACCACCGTGGATAACAGTAAGAACCTAATTGGTAAAAAGTACTGTATGTGAATTATGGAAGTACTATGAAGTGACGATTTGCTTATATGTGTGTAGGGACCAGAGGATTGAGATCAACTGAAAAAAAACTGGTTGGGAAGACAGGAAAGGTTACTCATGGAAAGAGTAAATGTTATTGTGACTTTTCAATAATCTAAGAGTAGTATTTTTTTAAGATAATAAAGTATTTTTTAAGATAAATTCTGCAAAATGGAAAAAAAAAACACAGTGCAGGCAACAATATGAGTGATTACTAGTATTAATTATCACTTGCTGAGTACCTAGCATGTTCCAGGCAGTATGTTAAAGATTTTACATTTCCATTTTGGAAAATGTGTATTATCCACAAAGAAAGGAGTGGGGGCAGTGCTAAATAATGTTAAGTGACTTGCCTAAGGTCACAGAGATAGTAAGTGGGTGAGTTGAAGCTGGTTGGTG